AAGCAGTACGTAAACTATAAACGTACTCTTAATAGTACAAGGAACTTAAGTTTCCTAAATTGGTTTTTAACGGTTTTATTAATTATTACCTTTTCCATTTTACATATCAGATATTTGGACAAGGCCATTAAAAGGCCCCAGTAAAATACCAAACATAAGATTTGGTCTAGTTCTATTAATAGAACTATATTTACTTTCCAAATCTATTTATATCTGAATGCTTCGGTAGCGAGATGGCTCAACCGAATATAGGTTTCTAGGGACTATTAACGTTACCTAGTGTATCCTCCGTTCAGCCAACCAGATGTGCCAGTCTGATGAAGGCTAAGTAGGTAATTCTTGATAAGTGGCAAGTTATTTGTTAATGCAATAGCTATGGACATCAAGAGTATTTTTCTTTTTCTTTTCTTTTTCTTCTTTTCTAAAGATAAGGATTTTATGAGTCTCTAATAGAGCGACAACGAAACACTAAATAAAATCCCTTCGGCGAAAACAGTACTGAGAGGATTATATATAAGCAATGTTTCAGCCTCACAATCCCTCAGAGTATTGCTGTTTTCACGAGGCATACCTAACTTTGCTAAAAGACTCATTTCGTTTATTTACTTTGAATTTCACGATACTTAGACTTTACGTACGCGTTTAATTACTCTACGGCGTTAATATCGCCTTGATAGACCGAATCTTACACAGTTGGTAACTGTTGTATTGGCGCCGGGCCATAACCGCGATCTCCTTGTTGGACCAGCGTTTTGCTGAGTTCTATCTAATGTCGTCACAACGTCGGTGGAGTGTGGGCTACATGATCGTACGCTCGCCCGTGGTTTTGTATACAGTTTTCAGGTGGGTATAGATACTGTACGGAAGCGCAGTGATAGTTTGTTTGTCGTAGGCCCAGGCGGGTTGTGTCAGAGGGGTGAATGGGTTTGTGCTGGCCATTGAGTTGAGTTGTATTCCCAGGCAACGAGAGCAGGCCACAAAAGTGGAGTAAGTTTGTTTGATGTTTGAGAAACCTAGGGTACCGTGATGATGGCTGCTGCTTGAATAATTGATGAGTTATAACGCTCGAACAGGGGGTCCAGCACATTCTTCCATTCAGGAGGAGACCAGGAAATAATGTTCAGGCTATTTGTAGCCGTGGATAGGGTGAGTGTTTTGAACAACACCAGCCGGTTGCGGGGAGCCATAAGCGCGGAAGAAGGCGATACCCAGGGACAATGCTGCAACCAGGAATTTAATATCTTTGGCAAAGTTGATCTCTGGTATTCCGTGAGAAAGTGGGAACCCCAGATATTTAAAAAGTTCAGGGTTGACATGTGTGGGTGCCATCTTCAGGAGGAGGTAACGTGTGTTCGAAGGGGCGTTTGTGTTCGAAGGGGTGTGTGTCTGCGAGCGTCGGCGTGATAAGCTCACCATTTATACGGAGGGTTGGCGCCGCGTGTCGCAAGTCAGTAGATCGTAACCGGGATTTGATGACACCCTGTTCGAGGCCAGATTTGCGTCCCCAAGCATCAATGTCGTCTAAAAAGGGCTGAAGCGGAACCGGTTGGGGGGCTTGGATGCGTGTGTCGTCGTCAAATAAATAAAAGTGGAAGAGCTTGGGCAGATTGACAGGTGCTCACGAAGTATTTTTCAGGTGCCAACCAAAGTTTATATGTTCCGAACTTAACAATTAAACGAACGACACAACTTCATAGTATTTGGCCGTCCGTGGTTGACCCAGCCATCACTGTATAGGAGTTCGTGGGCATGATCCTAAGGAAAGCACTACTAGCTAATACTGTTTAGCACCGACACAGAGTTAACTTGGAATTTCAGGATGACATATTTCGATCGTATAAACGGTTCAAATCAAGAGAATCTACAACTTGTCGAAGGTGTGATTGCTAAGACACCAACGGAGATTCTCAAAGACACCATATCGAGTACTGAGGTTGGGGGCAAGCCTTGACTACTCGGTTTTGACCACACGAATCAGTTTCATTGTTTTGTCGATTGAAAGGCAGAACGCAATTGAACAAAGTCATAAATCATAAGAATGACTGGAACACCTGTCCGAGGATTATATCATTCACCTAGTTTACCACTAAACTGGAAAGTGTCGCGAGTACTCCTGCGATCTTACTACGTACGAGCATTTCCTGGGTGGATTTTTTCGGAACCTTTGTCTTTCCGCTAGGCCATAGTGGCTCATGATACATTTCATACCCAAAAACAAGATTCTTACTTGCGACCTCTTTGTACTGTAGTAATTAGAATGACTGAAAATATCGACCTAGAAGTGGTAGTGTTCTCTGATCCTTCGGCGATGAACAATAGTGCTAGTCTAGTACTAGTTGATTGGCTTCCATCATAAAATTTGCCTAAGACTCGATAACCTCGCGACCATTTGTAGTAAAAACCAACCAGCCTCGTACTAGGTTGATTTAGTCATTCTCCAAATTGATATCGATAGACAGCTTATTGATATCGATAGACAGCATATTGTGATACTGTCGGAATAACCGACAATTACCATTCCCACAGCAGAGAATACAATAGATAAATATCGGGTTGAAATTTATTGACAGATCTAGAACTTCCTTCAAACAAAAATTCACAGGAATTAACTGAATGCTTGCAAAGTTTATACGGAAAAAAATGTATTAGAATATCATATATACCATCCATGTTACAGGTGTTATGTTAGAAAACGCTACTTATCAGCCATGATAGTATGCTAGTATTGAAATGTTAGATACATGATTGCTGACTAAGGTACACTATAACGCCAAGGATATAGACGAATATTGCTGAGTAAAATTGTGATATAAGATCTTGTCCATTAAAAAAACAATTAGTACCATATTTGTTTCTGAGTAGTAATAAAATGCTGTTTGAACCACCATACGTGTCCCCTTCTAAGACCTCAACGCACCAGCTCTCCATGAGTTTGTATAGAAACCACCTGAAAACAGGGAGATGCATCGACTGGTGCAGCAGACAGCTATACAGTAAACTTTCCCATAGAGTATAGAAAGCAGTTACATATACGGCGAAGCAATTTTAATGGCAATAAATGAATTAAAAGTTGTCCAGCCTCTATTTTGTTACCGAATTTATATGACTTGGTACACATCAAATAACTCAAAGCGCATACACGCTATCTTCCTGTATGACAATATTTTTCTAAGTTGGTCATACGGAACGCGCCTATTTCATTGCGAATCGACATTGCCCTTCCGTGTCTTGATCCAGGCCTGTATTTGCTCTCGCAAACTATCATCTGAGAGGTCACGCCAAAGGGAAAACACAGAATGTCAGTAAAATCGAAACTTTCGACGTGGCTGCTAGATGTAAACGCATACCATAATTTTATAGAAGCTTCTCATAAAGTGGGCGCAGCTATTGAACAACACGCGAGACGAAAATACTATGCACCTACCTTCATCACCATTAAAAAATTAAAATAAAACACTTCCACCGTACACTGCGGTAAAGAAAACGCGGTCAATAACTTTGGTAGCATACCAGGCTGCAGCATGTCTTCGGTTAAGGGCATTCGGTTAAAAGGGTCCTTCTGCTCAGTCAGCAAGTGTGTGGTGATGATGGAACGGTCACAGACATTTTTGCTCGTCGGGAGGATCACCGGATCTTTCATTAGAGTACACATGATGGGATCTGTACAGACAGGCGATAGGAGTTGTGAGGGGAAAGGACACTACTTCAGGAGCATCGAAAAAAAAAAAAGGAAAAAAAAGGACATATCCATGAATAAGCATGCAAAGATTTATGTTCTATACGCGTTGATTATCAAATATAGGGCTACTGCATTGGGCATGGACCATTTTATTTTTGATGATTCGATCACAATATTCGCTTACGGATTTTGCGATGTGTTGAAGGTGTATGGGAAGCGCACATTTGGTGGGTTCCCTTGAACGTGTTCATCACAGGCACTGCATGTACGAACATCGTGGTATATGCGTATTCTCAAGGGCATGTACAAATCAACGCACACAAACACAAACACACACACACCTAGGTACTCATCAGGGATCTCTCCCAGATCATCGTCGTCCTCTTGCGTGCTCTCCATACATTGCTGCACCAGCGTGCTAATCAACTCAAACTGTACGATATCCTCTGATGAAACACCGCCCACACGCTTCAGTATATTTGCGGCTCGTGCGAAGATTTCTGGGCTGTATGAGCGGCCGTCTTTGGCCAAACCTCCGATGAACTTGTTTGTTTGGTCGGGTTTGTTTGCCTGAATAGAGTGGTACGCACACAACAAAGCATGAGGAAAGCAACGAATATTCTCAAATAAAACAGAGACGCAATTGCGGAACAATTGGGACATTCTTGAAAGGCGTGTGCGTGCGTGCATTCATTTGATACTCACAACATACAAGAAAGCGTCTTCGAGTTGTTGGCGACACAACGCTGCTTTCTAAATTACCGCTCGTGAGTTCCGACCATCATCAGTGACTACCCAGCAGTGCTTGACATGTTTTTATATCAATGATTGCGTGCTCCATCAAATACAACATACCCGGAAAAGATTCAGATAGATTCCAGTGAGCTCGGTAAGCAGTTTCCTTGGCTCGAAGCTGTATGTACCTACAGAGTAGTGTAAGTAGTAATATGCAGTGAATCAGACGAATAATCGCTTACTTGATGCTCGGGTGGGTGCAATGGCGTCTGATGCTGAATCTACGAGTGAAAGAAACTATAATCTGATACAGATTTACGATTAGAATGAAATGCACGTTACACCGTACGCCAGGCTAATGTGCTCCTAGCACGTTCACGAGGTATAGATCTGCTGCAAATGGAAGTTCGATTGACATGCACAACTGGTATTCAACGTTCAAAGCCAGAATGGAACTGGGCACTCACGCATGATTCGGATGTCACGCTATTTCCTACCAGGATTGTTGACCTTGAGACTTTGGCACTTTGGACCAGCAATCATCACGAGGTTGTAGTTAAGCATGGCGGCGAGTCGATCGACAACGACATCCTGAAGAGTGTAGTGAAGCACATTAGGGTATATACCTGCTAGTTTTGCCATAATTTTGGAATAATCGTGCATGAAACCCAATACATATACAGATGAGGATAAAGATACATATGCATTTTGATGTAGGCACAAATACATACGCTATTTGAGAAAATTACAAATGCACATACACCATACGTGGGTGCGTGTACTACACACACGCAAACATGTATTCTCACCTACACTAATCGGTTAGCTAACTACTCCACAGATCCGTATACCTCTAGACACGCATGATCCGATCATATATTTAGAACACAGGATGCATCACACGCGTACACGCAGACATTCTACGTATCTACAGGTATATATATATATATATATATAAATATAAATATACTTACACATATACATATACATATACATGTACATATACATACATACATACATACATACATACAAACACACACACACACACACACACATATATATATATATACATATACATATACATATACATATACATATACATATACATATACATATACATATACATATACGTATACATATACATATACACATATATATGAATTCGCATGTTGAAAATCAACTGACAAACTGACACAACTACACAACACTACGATCCACCCTCACTCACCGATAAAAAGGGGTGGGGTATAGCCTGGGTGAGATAGTACAGCGTGTTCACCAGCGTATTCGAAAAGGTGACTAGAGATTTAGCCCTTCTGTCCGCCTCCTTAAACTCGCTTTGCTTCGCCTCTTGTTCTTCTTGCTCCATACCCTCCCACTTGGCTCTGTTGAGCTGTAGCTGTTCAAAGTCACGGATGGTTCCCAAAACTCCCAATGCTTCGTCCAACATGTACATGCAATCGTTCCTGTGGGCGTAGTCGTGTGAATGCACATATAAGTGGTTATATACATCTACTTACGCTTACTTATCTATGTCTCTGTGCATATATATGTGTATTATTTTTCTTTCTCCATGACCTCTCACTTGGCTTTTATACTTGCAACTGTTCACCCAAGAATACTCGGCCCTTCGTCCAGCATGTACATACACCCGTCCCTGAGAGTTTACTTGTGCATCTGCACATACAAGTGGCTATATATGTACACACACTTTTATATATATTCAATATACATACATATATACATATATTAATATATAAATATATATAGATATATATATAAATATATAGATATAAATATGTATATTTAAATATATACAGATACATACATACACACACCCACACACATGTATATACATATACATACACATATACACACACACACACACACATACACACACACACACATATATATATATATACATACATACAATACACTAACACATACACGTACACGACAACACACACAACGTACATATATATACATANATACATAAACTACATA